AAAACTACCTTTCTACTTTACCCACTTATCAGAAAGAAATTATTTTTAATTCATTAAATTACTCTTTATCTCTAGTCAAATGAAAAACCTAAGAGTTCTTCCAGCTTTCCTTCAACCCTCCTTCTCTAGCTCTGTTGGCTCCATAGAAATGACAACTCGAAGATCTTCAGTTCCTATCAGCTGGAAATTACCTTCAGTAACCTCTGGCTCTGTTTGTCATTCTATGAATCATTCTTTTGAAGTACAAGAGAGCAAAAAAGGGTTTTACCCAGGAAAGCAAGTCCTCCCCAATTTGGCCAATAACAGAAGTCTCGTTCCTTTTCCGGACAGCTTTCATCTGATCGTTCAATGCAACTTGGGAGAGAAAAAAAAAGAAGAAGGGAAACTTTATTAATACCTCTCAAACTGTTTGCTTAATTTTCAGCACTTATTTAAAAATAACATCTATTCTAGGAAAACATTAGATCTGCAATAATTTCAATTAAGTTTGGAAAAATGTCTGCAACGTAATATATTTAGCAGAATGTCTAAGAAAATGTTATATAGCTCCTTTGTACCTCTGTCTCACCTGTCTTCAAATGATCCCCAAGACCCTTTCCAGTCTTATCTTTTCTAAAGCTCAGTATCACCGCCCTTTTAGAAACAGAGGAATACTGTAGAACACACTTCATGCCACCTGCATAGAAGTGTAGGACTGATTATCTAGAGGCAGAGCTGAAATTCTGATTCTGAAGAGTCCTTTCTCTAAACAATGAGAGACCACTGCCCTTCAGAACCACCTGCAAGACATTAATCTTTTCAGATTTGTTTGCAGTCTCTTCAACAACAGTTGTAACGTTTTGATCACTGACCCATAAAGACCGTTCATCAAAGCATTGCTCCTTTTATCAAAGCATGAATCAGCACAAGAGAATCTGTGTACACAGATAAGAAAAAACCCAAGTATCTGAAACACTGGACACATGCATGCTTTATCAAGATAGCTTTGTCAATCAGAAATGGAAAAATTGTGTGCGGAAAGAAGAACAGCTGTAGTATTCTCTCTCATCTGAAGTGTTGTATGAGGCTGCCTCTTGTTTCAGGGTCACTGACTTAAATCTTTCAGGTATTTGTATCCAGAATTCCAGTTGAGACTACAAAGCTGAGCGGCACTTCAGCTGCTCTTACCGTGAAGCCCAAGGATATCCTCCAGATTGGAAAAGATTTTCCGTTTGTCACTGGAGTTCAGGATCCCCTCCCGGGTCACACGCTGGTAGAAGACGTTATGCAGCACCTTCAGCGTGCGGACATGAGCTCTCTCAGTGTAAAACAGTTCTGCGGAGAGGAAAAAGCAGGATTTTAACTGTCTGCCTAAAGAGGTGTGGTAACATTGATCCAATGTGAAGCAAACAGAAGTCAGAAGTACAGACTTACAGAAGTCTCCCTCACCAACACTTCCCTTGCTGGCCCATATTCCAGCTTGCTCCAGAACGGAGCCACGCTTTGCTGCACTTGACAGAACAGAGAAGACAATTGATTCATGACTCTCCATTTACCCAAAATAAACAGTGAGCTCTTCACAGCTCACATAGACAGAGTGATTTGCAGGATTGCAAGATCTGAAAATGAGATGAAGCTTTGAAGATGAAGTTTGGTAGATGGCCACTACTTTGAGCAGATCAGTGAAAAAAGACCTAGTTTTAAATTGAAAGAACTTCAGAGCTCCAGAGGACAGGCTTCAACTTTGTGCTTGGTGAACTTAGGAAAAAATATTAATCTCACCATTAATCACTTCTTGGCGCTTGATTTCATAGGGTTTCAGCCCCATCAACACTTCTCGGCTCACAAGTGGCTGCCAGTTGGGAGGATCCATGTCCATGTCAAAATCATACAACTCGTCTTCACTTTGTACATCTGCAAAGCCAACACTGTCCATCCTAACACGAAAAAATGTGTCAGACAGTTCCCATTTGAGGCATGGATGTAAGGAAGAAAGAAGAGATAACCTAAGTATATATATCAGTTGGAAGGCATTATGAATATGCTCTCCATAAGAGCTGGAGGCTGTTAGATGTCTGAACCTATAGGAACATACTCTAATTTTGCCCTTTACAGAACAACTAAGAGTGAATATCTGTTCCTAGAGTATTTCCATAAGCCTCCTTTTAATGATACAGATTAAAATAATTTGTTTGAAGTCAAATGTCAAGTCAGGGCAGGTTACAATTTCTTTCCTCCTCTATCTGCAGATACAGAGCCAATAGCAATACACAGATTTTAAAAGAAAATGTGGAAATCTCAGCTCAATAACCCATCATTTCAGATCAGCAGATACAACAAGCACTGCACTTCACTCAGATCAAAAGGGCTTATCTGCATATAACTGACTCCACCTGCCCTATGGACGGATGCCAGCGTCTCATTTCATGTATGTGTTATTGAAGAAAAGGAAAGATCATGCAGACAACTGCACTGGCTCAGAACAATGAACAC